TCTAATCTTCCCTGTCTGTTTTGCCAGCCACCTTCCTTGGTCTCTCCGCGGTTTTTTGTTCCTTGCATTCCTGCCCAGCCTCTTCCCCAGACAACATATATATTGTAGCATGCATAGCTATTGCTATACACCAATCATGAGGACAATGAATTGCTTGGTAAGCCAGTAAACACATCAATAATACCTGGGCTATTGCTAGGCAACTGCCCGGTAAACAGGTTCCCATGGCAACAGATATGCATGCAACAGTCAAAGTACTGTTGGACTATAACAATGGAAATGATGTTTTATATGTGGTTTGTGTCGAAATGTTATAAGCAGGGTCAGTCAAGTTCTGGAATTGAAGTTGACAGCAGTTCAGTTAAGCAAAGTGACATGAAGTAGGTTGTTACTGAGAGTTCAGTTGTCAGTTCAGTTGAAAGTGAGCCTGTGAAGAGAAAACCAGGAGGCTGGTGTGAAATGGCTGACAGCCTGAGACCCAGTTAGCTGAGTTGTCAGTAGACAAGAATTCTGCACAGATGGCTATGACACGAGGATCTGAGAGCAGGAATCTGAACAGTCTCCCTCGGTGGAAGCAGCTGGCCACAAACAGCTAGGGAAGACTGTAACACGCTGAGGACACTCGCCTGTGTGTGTCAGTGATCTGTAAAGTGTAGTTCCAAGTGGTGTGTGTAAGTGGTCATTAAATCCATTCACCAATCCATACCACATCTATAGTCACACACCCCATAAACTGTGACAATATGACTACTTTCCCACCCCAACTTCACTTGGATCCTTCAAAAACGGCTCTCTTCAGGTCCCAACCGAGCAAGAGACTCCTTTGCTCCCAGGTTGGCTACCTACTGCTTCTGATTTCTTGCTTGGCTTACTCTTCTACCTTGAAGATGGAAGCTACAGTTTCTCTGAAAAGTCAGGCTCTCTCTAAACTTCATAGCATTGCAACTCTTGAATGTTATTGTAATTTACAGCTTATTTTTAAGTCCAGAACTTATAAAAACTGACTATATATAAAACATTATTGAAGCCAGTTGTGACATATGGATGTGAAACAATCGATAACTGAAAGCACAGAGTTATGTAACATATGTGAGAGAAGATAATTTTGAGGCAAATGTATGGACCACTGTCTAAGAAAGTTCTTTGGTGAAGCAGAAGTAACCAAGGATTGAGAGAATTATAAATAACTCCTAATCAGGTAGTAGACATTAAAAGGAGAATTCTACAGAGTTTGGGACATGATTAGAATGGATTAAACAAAGGTGGCTAAAATATTTTTGAAAGACATACAAAAGGTTGGATGGCCCGATTGATATGGCTGGAAGATGCAGAGAATGGCTTATAATGACTGACAGTGAAGGGGTAGAGACAAAAGGCAAATAATGGGTATTACTGTAAAGGGCGGCTACTGTTCTTGGAGGAGTGTAGAGAAGTAAATAATGAATATGCAAAAGGAAGTAATTATTATTCTTTCTACACTAATTTTAAAATAAACTGAAACAATATCTTCATTATTTTCCTGAATTTCGAGAGTAAGCATGATTCTGTTCCTAACATTCCGAGAGTGGTGAATCATAAAAATAAACTTGCTTTATAAGGACAGAATTTGCTGTATTTTTTGCACTGAGCTAATTGTTTGCTTTATATTAAGAGCATAGCTGATTAATTTAATTCTGTTTTAAGCTATTTATTAATTTTCTGGCATAGAAGTTACTGAAAACATTTTATTCTCCAATTATTATGTAGGAGGGGTACGCGGTAGCATAGTTGGTTGAGGCACTATGCTACAAGCCCAAAGGTCGCGGGTTCAAGTCCCGATGATGTCATTTGATTTTTCAGTTGACCTAATCCTTCCAGCCACACTATGGCCCTGGAGTCAACTCAGCCTCTAACAGAAATGAGTACCAGGAATATTCTGGGAATATTCTTGGGAGTGAAGGGCGGCCGGCGCGTAGGGCTGACAATCTTGCCACCATCTATGAGCTGATTGTCTAGAAAATGTGGGAACCTCAACATCTCACAACCCTATGGGCCTCCACGGCCTGTTACAGGGATACTTTTACTTACTTTACTTTTATTATTATATAGGATTTCCTCTCAATCATACAAGCAGTGACTGTTAACTATTTTTAAGTGTTTTTTTGCACACAGTGAATGCACACAGAAGTCAAGCTCATCTGTCCATCTATGTTTCATATTTGAACTGAATGATCACGATGGAATTTGGTGTTTGAAGCTTACAGTAACAACTGGCTGACGAACTTAATTTTTATTCATGTCATATTAAACAAGTATAACCCCAACTTCAAATGATGCTCAAAATGAACTTATTACTTATGAAAAAATAATTCGCTAAAAAAGAAATTGAAACCCTACATAAAATACTGATCTTGTAATTGTCCATAACTTTCATTCTTAACATGTTTTAATATGCTACATATTTAATTAAATACAAGGGAAAATAATTTCTCACACCTATGCAGTCTGTAATCTGTGGAGTGACTAGGTTTGCCAACAGTAACAGATTTGTTTCTGCATTAAATGTACTGTATATAATGGCCAATGAGGTATGTAAGATGTTAACAAATATATTTTAAAAAATATGGGTATGCTTACTGCATCAGAGTTTATCTTTCCATTCATTTAGTATTACAATGAGCACTATGAGCAACCATAAGTACCAAGTGTCTAACATGTTTTAAAACCACTGATATATGAGGAAAGTAAAGCTAACACTCTCTCTGAGAAGACTAAATCAATATGTTAAATTACAGTATTTGGAATCATGTTGAACCAAAAATTAAAAAGAAGATGCAGGCTTAATTACAACAGCATAATTATTTGAAACAAAAGTAACTGGTAGTTTGAGGCTCTGCAACTGACACAGCAGCTCCTGAAATTGCAATAGACTTTAAATGTAAGGGATCCTCAAGTGAAGTTAATTTTTCCAGCCAAATCACACACCACCAATTTTGAATAAATTTTATACTTTAACAAATATATTCCTACAGTATCAAAATCTACACACTCTATACACAGATTTTAATCTGTTTTCCTGAATTAAGCCGCTACCTTGCAAAACAGTTTACAACATTTGAGATCCCTGATGCAACACTTGAAATGACACAATACCCACTTAAAGTCCTGGAACACTGAACAGTGCTGCAAAGGACTAGAAAGGAAACAGATATATAACCATTTCTAGGGTTTAGAAGAGGCAAAGCTCTTTCACTCCAATTCAATTTATAGGTCGTACCAAAAGTCGTGAGCAACTTCTTTTTGCATGCAACCTGGGAACAGAAGACGAAAGAGTATGGTGGTAGGTGGAACCAGCTGTTGTGTTAACCTTGAATGTCTTGTGACATCAATAGCTTGCATCGCGAAACCAGTATCACTCCTAACAAAATGGCTGACAATGATGTCGTTTCGCCAGCTTGCTGAATTTCTTGTGAAAAAGGAAATCCCTACTGCAGAAATTCGCCAGAGACTTCAGTGTGCTTATGGAAATGTGTGCATGGGTGCAAGCAGTGTTCGAAGATGGGTGATACATTTTAAAGATGGGAACACCAGCATCGAAGATGAGCCTCAGAGCGGTCGTCCTCGAACAGCCTCAACTGAACACAAGGAAAGAGTGGAGGAGATCATTCAAGATGACAGGCGTGACTGTGGACACAATAGCCCGAAAACTTGGAATAGGGCACAGTGCAGTACAGGAGATGATTGAAAGCTTGGGCTATATGAAAGTTTGTGCTCGTTGGGTCCTGCCGTTATCGACCGAAGACCACAAAGATCAGCAAAAAGCCATCACCTCAGAACTCCAGCAGAGATATCGACATGAAGGCGATGATTTTTTGCTCTGTATTGTGACAGGTGATGAAAGCTGGTTTCACCATTTTGAGCCTGAAACAAAATGGCAGAGTATGGAATGGTACCATTTGTATTCTCCATCAGAAAAGAAGGCAAAGACAGTGCCATCAGCTACAGAGGTGATGGGCACAGTCTTCTGGGATTCAGAGGGGTTTATTCTGGCCGAATTCCTGGAACCTGGGCAAACCATCAATGCTGCTCGTTATGTCCAGACACTGCACAAGCTCTGTCATGCATTGCGCAATAAACGTCCAGGACAAAACATCATCCTGCATGACAACGCTCACCCCAACGCCACTTGCCTCACATTGGAAGCAATTGCAAAGATGGGGTTGGAAGTTCTTCCACACCCCACCTATAGCCATGATCTGGCACCCTCCGACTACCATCTTTTCGGATTTGTGAAGGATCAGCTGCAGGGACGTTTTGGGACAAGAGAGGCAATGCAGAAAGCAGTGCGTCAGTGTCTTTGGATGGCTGGAATGGAATTTTACAGAAGGGGAATTTTCAAACTCCCAGAACGCCGGGAGAAATGTGTACAAGGAAGTGGCGATTATGTGGATAAATAAAGAAAGGTCTGTAGATTGAGGTGGTGTATTTGGTTTGTCAATAATAAAGCATGTTACTTTACAAAAAATTGTTGCTCATGACTTTCAGTACGACCCTCATAGATATGAAAGTTAAAGACTGACCAATTTTCAGGAAACTCTGTAATGACATCATCTTGGTACTTTTTGTCATTCTGCCATATACAATACCAAGACAGTCTACATAAGAATTTTTGATGTGAAGACAGTACTGTTACTGTTAAATGGGTAGTCAGAGTAAGGTCCACTTATTCTTAATACCTGTAGTGGAATGTGCGAAATTTGGTTCACATCTGTTCCTCAGACAGAAGGGCAACCTTGTGAAGATTACAATGTTCCAGGACAAATACTGATGTCACTACATTTCTTTGGCATTAAGTTGTATAGAAGGAATACTTATATGATGACATTAAAATGCTGCAAAAGTAGTAGAAGTAGTAGTAGTAGCAACAGCGGCAGCAATTGTGGCCGTGGTGGTGGTGGTGGTAGTAGTAGTAGTAGCAGCAGCATGGTGATGGTGTGGTAGTGGTAGTGGTAGTAGTAGTAGTAGTAGTAGTAGTAGTAGTTAGTAGTAGTAGTAGCAGTAGCAGCAGCAGCAGCAGTAATGATGATGGTAATGATTGTAATACTTAGAATTAAGAAATGGCAACAATCTGTCCAATGATGAACACATAACAGTCTGGAAGCATATCCAATAACACTAATAATGTATGCTCTCTGATAGACACATTTACGTTACACACCTAATCTAAACTTATCATCAGTCCTCCAGTAAAATGAGTTTAATTCCATATACAAGAAATTCTTAAGACATTTATTAGTGATCAATGTGAATGTGACTAGTCTCAGCTGTCTAGTAGTACCCTGAGTAATGGTGGTATGCAGAGGGAGAGGTAGAGGCAATGTGAGGCGTGCGATGGTATGAAGATGGTGATAAGGGGTAGGTCTGGTAGCTGGGGTGTGGAGGTGGAGACAAGATGCGACCTGTATCCACCAGTCCCTGGGTAGTGACTGTGGACATACGGTTCATTTCTGGGATGACATGGTTAGGAGTGCCAGGTGGGGCAGGGGAAGGGGTCATGGCACGGGGTGCAGGGAGCTGGTGGTGGGCATGATGAGAGTGATGACGTGATAGATCCAAGCTCACAACACGCAGAACCTCAGAATGTGAATAAGGGGGAGGAGGCGGAGGGGAAGTGTATCCATTACCAACCCGACCAGTCATGCTGAGATCAACACTCTGCCTGTCTGGACCCCCAGCTGCCATATCATACAGCACACTTGTGTGATGGTAGCGTGACACAGCCTGAGAGCCAAAGTTCCCATGATGGTAGCTACGTGAAGACATGTCAAGCCCCTGCAACTCTGTGGATCCCACCAGAAGTGGCTCAAAACCAGGGCGAAGTTCTTCTAGTACCTCATACTGTTTGTATGCCAGGTCAAGTGTTAACCCTGCCTTCTCCTTGAGGCCCAGGCTTAAGTTCTGTGCCCCTTCCCCTTCATCACTAGATAGATTGTCAGTGGACACTTGATGGTGCAGCTCATAACGGGGACTGTAGCCATCCATGTGACCACCTCGAGGATGGTCAGGTGACATCTCCTCAGAGTGATGCATGTAGCCTGTCGGATGTGGTGTCTCAGCTGGGGAGATAAGGTCCTCCTGATGATGTATGCTGTAATGCATGCGTGGTGGGGATGTGTAGCCCTCCAGCTGCTGCAGGTTTCCTGAGGGAGAGCCCTCTTGTGGGTCTGGGGTTGTTGCAGGAGACTGCAAAGTGTAGCTGTCCATATGGTCAGTGGGAGGGGAAGGTGAGGGTACCAAATGCCCATTCACTAAGTGATGTGGGTATAGGGACTCGCTGTTCTGTTTGTCATTTGCCGTAATCACTGTGGGAGAACTGACGACACCAGACATGTCTATGTCACGTTCTGCTGCATCTAGAGCTGCCTCCACTAATAAACTTGCATTCGACGATGATTCAGGCCGTCGGTAAATGGATGGAGGCGTCTTGTGGCATTCTGGTTCTGCTATACTCATAGCTATATCATTGCCTGGCTCCTTCTCATCGTCAAGTTCATAGAGGTGACCCTTCTCAGGCAATGTTCTAGAGGCTTCCAAGGGAGTCGGATCTCCCAACCATTTCTTGCTACCCTTGCTCATCACCACCTTGCTGGCAGTTGGTGTGATATAAGGTTCCAACATTGGGGGCTGCTGGCCTGTATGTTCATTGGATTGAGGGGGAGGAGGTGGTGTTAGTTGAGGGGGACCATCTCTCACACCTCTGTTGTCATCTTGACCTGTAATGATACAACATCAAGTGTCACACTGAGGAGCAATGCCATGCAGTTTTGAAAGTGTAAAACAGGTAAGTTACACTGACCGACTTCATGTGAAAAGGGGAAAAGAGAAACTTGAAAACATGAAGAAAAAAGACAAAAATATGGATATTCCCTCTACCTTCCAAAACAAACAATACATAAAACAATCAGTTGCTTTGTATGTAATGTGCCTTCTTACTCCTGGAGAAGAAAAAATTGCAAGTAAAATCTAGGGTTCTCTAACTTCTGGGATGTAGCACCATGTAGTCAGGTACATCCACATTGATATTTCAGAGAAATGTATTCCCTCCATCTTCAGGGCCAAAGAATATTCCAAACAAATAGTCTCCTTGCTGCTTGCATACCCTGTGACCCTAATGATGGAGGAAATATTCTCCCCCACAACATAACAGCTCTACCAGATGATATGGTGCCACATCCCAGTACTCTTCATAAATTACATGTGTTTGAAAACAAAGTGCTCAAGAAAAAGTATGGATTTAACAGGAATACAGTTGTTAAGTAATTTAAGGCATTACATAATGAAGAATATCATGACTCACACAAGCTACCAAGTATTGTTAGGGAAGTCAAATAAACAAGGTACAATAAGATGGACTCCCATTATGAAGGTCCAAAGAAAAGAACCAATAGGAATTCAAAATGAATGGGACACACAAGCTTCTGGTCTGTACTGATGACATCAATGTACTGGGCAAAAGCATAAAAAACCAAAAAGAAAAACACAGAAACTATATTACACAGCAGTTAGGAGATTGAACTGGAAGCAAATACAGAGAAATGTAAGTGTACCAGGGACTTGACTAACAGAAATCACAAAAACACTGGGAATCCACAACTGGACTCAAAGAGGCAAAAGAATTTATATCAGGACCCTCTGCCAAAAGAGCAAGGGACTTGTTAAAATTAAACAGAAATCAATTAAGATGGGTGGTAGGATTACTTACTGGACACTGCCACCTAAAAGGACACCTTTTCAAACTGGGACTGACAGACAACCCAACTTGAGAAAGGTGCCTACAAGATGCATCAGCCTCACACATCTTATGTGATTGTGAGGCTGTAGCTTACCTAAGATATCGCCACCAAGGTCAATTCTTCATGGAACCAAGTGACTTTCATGACGCCCCCATAAATAAAGTCCTACATTTCATTCGAAGTGTAGGATTAATAAAGGGCTAATCCAAAGGGGAAGCACAATAGATCATTGAAGGCCGTGGTACTAGTGCTGGTTTCTATGGCTCATACTCATACTCATACTCAATGTAAGTATATGTTGATATCTCTCACCAGAATGCAGGAAAAATGTAGCATAAAGTCGGCTGATAAATCCTTCAAAATATAACAAGTTCATATATTTGAAAATGACCTAACTAATCAAAATTGCAATCATGAAGAAATTCAGAGCAGATTAAATTTGTGTATTGCTTGCTACCATTTAGTTCAGAATCGTTTACCTCCTTGTCTATGTAAAAATGTACTTACTTCCTTATTTACTTACTTATGGAGCTGATCCCTACTTGAGGAGAAGCCAAATCTATAGCTACTCAAGAATTTCCCAGCATATATTGGAACCCAAAGGTTCATTACCATGTTCACAAGAGGCCTCCAATGGTCCCTAACCTGAGTCAGATCAATCCAATCCATACCATTCCATTCTATCTCTCCATTTTAATATTGTTCATCCACCTATGCCTTGGTCTTCCCAGTGGTCTTTTTCCTTCTGCCTTTCCCACCAATATCCTATTTACATTCCTCTTCTCCCATATTTGTGCTACATGCCCTGCGTCCCACATCGTCCTTGACGTGATCATTCTAATTATACTTGGAGAGGAGCACAAGCTCTGAAGCTCCTCATTATGTAGTTTTCTCCAGCCTCCTGTCACTTCATCCCTCTTCGTTCCAAATATTCTCAACACCCTATTCTCAAACACCCTCAGTCTATGTTCCTCCCTTACTGTCAGACACCAAGTTTCACACCCATACAGAACCACAGGCAAAATTATAGTTTTGTATATTCTAATTAATCTATAATTGTAAAAATTAAAATACACTATAATTTTGCCTGTAGTTTCATTTGGGTGTGATACTTGTTCTCCCATATAAAAGGAAGAACACAGACTAAGGGTGTTCTCAAACAGAGTGCTGAGGAGCATATCTGGATCTGAGATGGAGGAAGTAACAGGGGCCTGGAGAAATCTGTAAAATGAGGAGAATCATAATTTGTACTCATCATATATTAAAAATACAAAACAAATAAGGATGCTGAAAAACTAGTAGGAAAGAGATACTTGGAAGACCTAGACACAAATGGGAGGCCAGTATTAAAATTGATCTAAAGAAATAGGGTGGAAGGTGTGAACTGGATTCATATGTCTTAGGACAGGGAACAGTGGCAGAATTTGGTGAACACAGTAATGAACCTTCAGGTTCCAGGCTCAGAATTCTGTGACTAGCTGTACAGTCTCTTAAGACAGGCTCCTCCCAGCAGTTAGTTAGGACAGGATGGACATGTAGCCATGAAATGAGCCCAGAAAATGTATACAAAATTTAGGTGAGACAACTGCTTTTAAACTGACCCCGTGGAAGAAGATGGACGGATGACCTTAAAATGCATCTCAGAAAAGTATGCTGTGACGATGTGAACTGACCTGTCTCATGATAATGTCCAGTGATGGATGCGGTATTAGTAGTGTCAAATCGTACAAAGTCCTACCACTAGGATATCAGATGGCTGGGTTTTCTCTTAACATTTAATGAGATAACACATGCAACAGACTTTAAAGAGAGGACAACAGATACTTCCAATAACTGTATAAGCATTTTGTACACTCAAATGAAATACGTGTATTAAGCACACTACAAGCTGTAGGTTCATCTTTCCTTGTGCTGTGTGTTCATCGTCAAGAAGAGAATGACATTATGTTCCTCCTGTAAGCCATGACACCTTTACATAAGACAAACTGCACAAGTGCAAACAAATTCCAGAATGAACAGAGATGATAAAACTCTAAAATATTTTCAATGGTACTTTTAAATGAATTTTAATGTTGTATTTAATGCAAAAGAGTTTGAGTAGAAGAAACAGAGCAGAAAGGCTGGAATTTCTTTCAATCCAAGCCCCATTTCAATTCAACTGGTAGTTCATGAGGTCTACAGATTTAAGTAACAACATACAGGGAACAGACGACATAGTGTTACTGTTCATATATCCACGAAGGAAGAGAAAAGAGGATGAAAAGGGGAGAGAGGAGTAAGAAAGAAAACAGAGAATTAAAAGGAAGAAAAAAAGAAAAAATGAAGAAGCTATATAAATGTTGGACAATATTTCTACTAACCACTGTTGCACTCAGTGGTGGAGCTGGTAGCTGAGACATCAGCTTTAACACTTGATGCTGAACTGCTCTCATCCAGTGACAACAAACTACTGCTGTTGTTGTCTGTTGAGCTGCGTCTCTCCTTGTCAAACCGTGGGGTCTTCCCACGCCCAGGTTCTTCAACAGTACCACCAGAATAAGCATCAAAAGTGTACGCAACTGAACGTTCAATCGCAGGCATTGCATCTTCAGAGAAACTGTGCACCTTCTTGTAGTGAAATTGGAGGCACTGTTTTGTTGTGAATGCTGCCACACAGCCATTCTGCTTGCATCTGTAACAAGAGAACACACCTCTTTTCTGCTGTCATATTATAATAAAACTCTCCACGAAGAAAAAAAGTACTGATAAAATTTGGATCTGCATAGCCGTCATAAACAGATCACATTATCTGCACTTGTAGTAATAAAATTACATAGTCTAATGACTTGATAACTTCACAGAATTTTACCTGTCTCTCCAGGCAAATGTTGGGATAGTACCCTAAAACCGGCCTCAACTGCTTCCTTCCAGAACCATTCAGAATTTGGAAGTGGATAAGTAGCCCTGTCATCCATTTCCTGGCTCACCTGCATTATTTATTTCATATTCCACTGTATCCTACTAGACAAATAGGTACAATGGAGGCCAACATGCTTTCTAACTACATGAAAGAATATACTGTCACGTTTATTAGTGACTAAGATGCGGGAATGGATTGATGACTCAGTTTAATGGATGTTCACTAGTTGTAACTACAAATAATTGTAACACTTTCACATATCAGATCTTCTGTTCACTTCTCTTGTAAGCACTCTACACTAGTCTCTCAATTGTCTTGAGCTCTCCTGAACTTCCCACACATTCTCTATAACAATGCACTCTAGCACATATAATGTCTTCAAATCACATGCAAAGTCTTCACATGTCAAACTTCCCGTGGCTATCACTTGAACAGTTCTGTATGGAATCTCATTATATCGGGTGTCCAGATGAAAGTTATCCAAAATAAAAAATGTATTTCTCGGAAAGTTTTGTCATACACGTATCCGGGTTATGTCATCGGAAAGGAAAACCCTGTAAGTTTATTTTTTCCCCCATGCCCCGCTTACGTGCATGCGCCACCACAATTCTGCCACCATGTTAAGCATCACTTGGACAGAGTGATGGCTGGGAGATAGATTGACAGAAGTGGATCAATCGCTTGGTCTCCTAGGTCGCCAGATTTAACCCCACTGAATTTCTTCTTGTGGGGTTATGTGAAGAACATTGTCTATCAGGTTAAGATCAACGACCTGCAACACCTGAAAGCCCGCATAAGGGACGCTGTGGCTACGGTAATACCAAACACGCTTGATTGTCTGGATATCTGTCGTGCCACCAAGGGAGCCCACGTTGAAATTAATTGAGAACGTTATATACTCAGAAAGAAACTTTGATAGTTTCCCTTTGTAGTGGTATAACTCGTAAGTGTGTATAATAAAAGCTCTCTGAGATATAATTATTTTATTTTGGATACCTTTCATCTGGACACAGTGTATAGCCTCTGCATTGACCACATAGAGAACAGCCTATATTGTTGTAACATGTTTTCCGAACAATCACATAGCAACAGTCATGGCACAGACTCCATAGAAAGCCAGGTACGTGAGAGTTACCTCACTAGTTGATTTGTGAGCTGACTGTTACCTAGCAATGAACTATAAACATTCATCTTATTGCTGAGTGCGCTTACACACTAAAGGTTATTTACAGGTCGTTGCCCAGAAATGCTCTGGCCATCCACATTACAATTTTAAGGTGTGTTTGTGAACATGTTTGTCACACGACAGTGACTAAACTATGGGTTCTGTTGGGTGATTGGATTTACTGGACACCGATTCAGTGATTAAACCATGGGTTCTGTTTGGTAATTGGATTTATTGGACACTGATTCCTCTTATCTACAAATGATTACACAGTTTACAAGTATTCACAAGGTTCGTGGTCTGTTATATCACTCTTGCCTGGTCCCTTGCTGGTTCTGTGGGCTCTCTCATCACTGACTTTCTCTTTAGTGTTCCATCATACTGCCTCTGCTGGCTCCCTGGCTCTCTACATATCAGGGTGACCGACATCCCATTTACGAGGGAGGTGTGCCACTGTCCCAACAAGAATAAAATGGGACATCATTCCCATTTTTCAACATTGCTGTTTTGTTTATAACTGATACAGATTTTTCATTATGGCACACAAGCAACAGTTTGACCTCAGATGCTTGGAATGAAAATCACCTTCCTACTTTAATAAACCACCATATGCATTGTTTTCCACTTTATTTTGATCTGTGAAATTAAATTTGAGCAATAACAGAGCATTTTGGGTGTCAGCTGTGACAGACCGCCTGCAACTGCAACGTGTAATTTTATACAATGACATAATCTTAGCAGAAGCATTAAATTTAAAGTGTCCAAATGAAAATCGTATAAATAAAGCCAAATATAATCTAAACTTGTGTTCTGCACGTGTTGGGTGTATAACGCGCGACAAGTAACTTCATGCCTTATTCGATATAGCGAATTTATTGAACACTCACTCTTATAATCACACAATTTACCATCTCACAATTACTGCCATCAGCAGTATCACAAATTATCGCATCAAATCTTCTAACCACACATTCGGTTCTTCTTTCCGCGACTGCTGCTATATTTCAACTACTCGTAACTCGTAACTGGCTCAATACTCACTACTGAATAGTGTTTGCTGCTCCTTATTTAGCCTCGGCAAGGACAACACAGAAAACAGTTACATAGCTTTCACTGTTGTGTGACGTCGTGTTTACCGATTTCCTAGCAACAGTCGCTGCACGGGCTCCCCTGTTGCGTGACGCAGTGTTTACAAAGGCGTTGTTGGGCAACACTGTCAAGAGTTGTTTACTGCTGCATAGCAACCGCGGTTTCCCCTGTTACGTCACAGCGGTGGAGGGGGTGTTTAACGAGCGTTGCATCATCCACGTCACAATATTATTATGGCACATGGGATCTTTGTTTAAATTATGAAAATCCATGTATACAGTGTAACTGGCAATGGTTGGATTTATTTCTTGGGAAATCAGATGAACGTCTGCTCCATTTCCATGAAGAAAATACAAAGTGATGGCATTCAGACAGTGAAGTAGCCATACATCTAGATATTTTGTTAAACAAAATGAAAAGCAGGAAATATCACTATTATCATATGTTGAAAATGTTCACCATAATGGACAATTCACCAAAGTAGCCAACTCATTTTATGATATTTTTTGTTGTATTTTTAGAAATATGGAGTAAAATTATTCTCCCACTGGATATGTTTCATTGGACACTACTTAACCGTTCAGCGTGGTTTGACGTGTATGTTTCGTCAGGTATTTAAATCGTCTGCGGGGGTTCAACGTCTATGTTTCATCCAGCTGCACACCTATGTTATAACGCCCATAATAATTGATGGTTTTGCTGTAGATTGTTAGATTTTTCGCTGTCCTGTTGTCAGTAGAACAGAGTATAATAAGCCACGAGTTTAGCTGCGCTAAGTCATCGTTACATATGCCTGTCTTGCAGCAAAGTTCCTGTTGCTCTTGCGAGCGGTTTCCTCGTTCAAGCTGTTATGAATGGCGTGTTTTCTTTGCTNAGGTGTGCGTGTGTGGGGGGGGAAAAACTCATTCCTTCATGTACTATCGCTCCAGTTGACGCCATTTTATCGTACTGACCTTGGTGGTCGTTTCGAGGGATGACCATGAATATTTTTTTTGNCCATTCACTGCTCAAATACTAAACAACCTGCTTCCATTGCCGAGATACCGGGCGCTCATATTATAAGGTAAGGTTATAAAAACCATCTTTTAAGATCATTTTAGTGAAAGTTTCATCCTTCAAGGCGTACCATTCACTGCTCAAATACTAAACAACCTGCTTCCATTGCCGAGATACAGGGCGCTCATATTATAAGGTAAGGTTATAAAACCACCTTTTAAGATCATTTTAGTGAAAGTTTCATGTTCCTATCTCATATAATTTAAGAACAATGATGAATAAATCATTTTCGAGCAAAATTTAAATGGACGGCTGAATATATTACCGCCGGAGAGACGGCCGCGGAATTTAAATGACCGCGCGAAAGGGTTAAGAATCCTCCTGTTTGGACGAAAATCCTACACAGTACAAAGCACATTTTCGATGAATTTATTCATATTGCAAATATAAGTACAACCAAAAAGGAGTGTGGAATATAAAAACACTTAAAGATTTTTAAATATGGTCTGAAATATTTGAGTTTGTGCATAGTAAAATGCATTTTATTAGAAAACACAATTCATTTTGGAATTCTCTTTTCCCATACACTTTGCTGCTAAGCTCCTCAAGGAGGTTCTATTTCTATTGACTGACAGACACCAGGATGGTCACTTGAATTTCAGCATCAAGGTTCCCCACTCGTTTGCTGATGGTTTCTTTGAATTTTTTTCAGGCAGATCATACAGTGCTTATTACAGCCTCATTTCTTTCCTTGGCCAGCTCTTATTTTGGCCTCCATCTTCTCTTGGCCAGCCTTCATTGTTTTTTGGTTGGCACATAAGGTGGCCCTCCCCTCTCCTTGGCTGGACTCTCTCCATTCTCAGATTGTCTTAATTTTAGCTGTCAGACAGTCTATTATTTTGTTTAGCAGATGTTCTAAACTGCCCATGGGTGAGTTCAGGACCAGCTGCAGTACAGGATCCATTTCCACTATCCAACAATCCAACAATTCACCATTCCCACTTCTGACATCAGTGATAGTGACTAAGTTATAGTTTCTGGTTGGTAACAGGATTTACTGGACACTGATTTCTCTTGTCTACAAATGATCACAGTTTGCTAACATTCGCAATTGTTAACTGTCTGTTACATGACTTTTGCTTGGATCCTTGCTGGCTACCTCATCAGACACATTGCTTCCAGCAGTTACCTGGCTGTTGTGCATATATTTGTTGTGATGGATATGTCTTGACATGCCACTGCCTAGCACTGGATGTCTCTATAACACTTCTGTGGTTCCAAAATCCCAAGTTTCTGGCTTTTAGGTATCATGTCACAGTGTTTATTATGCTACCCCATACTTCCAGCACAAGAGTACCAAAATTCTAAATAAAATTAAAGAGACTCCATGATAAAATGTCCAATGTATCACTAATACATGTATATAAAACTAATACTGTTATTACATATAAGAAATATTAAATAGATGTACAGGATTCTGTTTGTTGTCCGATTTACAAAATTGCCCTACAAAGCATTACTCCATTTTCTGTGATGTCTGCCAAAAAGCAGAAGGGTCCATCAGGACTGGTGTGAGAGCTTATGTATATTTTCTTCTTGCTCTTCATACAGTGTAGTATTTTCTATTTGTTCTTCTGTCTCATTCTTCAAATGAATCTGAAAACATAAATGGTTATTTTATGGTATACCCTTGGTTAGTTCAAAACTTTAATCGGTACATATTTTCCATATTGCCACCCCAACATAAACACACTGTTCCCAACATAAGGTCGAAATGAACAGAAACAAGCTACACAGAACCAAACACCACCAATAATATATATATTGTGTGAGTGTAACAGGATACTTAAATATAATATTGTACCACCAATAATACAACTCTTATTTTAGAAACCAAAACTGGGTGACAATGTGGAAAAGTACTCTTTAATTTTATAATACATAATTTATAAGCAATACCACTTGGCTGTCAGGTCATGTAGGAAGACATTATTACTATCCAGCACAATGCTGACACATCAAATTGTTTTCAAGTACATTACACTGTATCATCCAGATGCATGTGCAAACTAACCTGGTACCCTTATTGCTCCAAGTTTAGCAGCTTGAAGACAGATATTTATGTCTCCAAGCACCATACATAAACCTTCCTGACTCAACACTTTGAAAACCATAAAAACTCAAACAAAAAGACAATGATTCTGATCTACTCCATATTGTTCTTCATAACTTCCATCAGTATCAAATGTGGCCTTAAGTAGGAGAGTTACAGAAGCCAATAAAACTTTGTCTGAGTTATAAGCATATACTCTTTCTGACATGTCTAATTATGAGAAACCAAGACTGGACAATGATGTCACCACAGTTAGCGTGGATAAATAAGCATAACCTCATCCTTTTAGATTTTACAAGTAGCACTGAAACAAGTACAGACAAGGAGGAAAGCAGAGAATTAGATAATGGTAACAGTTCTGATGATGGAAAAAGTGGCATGTGTTGTAAAACTGATAAGAAACCAAGTGATCAGTATTTCCTGGGATCTACAGGATTAAACATAATTATTGATAACCATAAGACTGCTGTTGAAGTGGTGAGTGCAATTATAGGTGATGATCTTATACAGTTATTCACTGAACAGTCAAACCAGTACCACACTCAAAATGACCAACAATAAACGGCATCATCTAAATCACTGAAGTAGTCTAACACTACACCTCAAGATATTGTGACATGTTGCGCAATGGAGGACAACCCCTCCCCCCCAGCAGTGACGTGGCAGATGAGTCAGCGCTCTGTCACCCCCCCCTCCGCGGTGACGTTATATGCAACGCAGCTGTGACACGGGTAACAGCCAACAGCGGTATCGATTGCATAACAGGCAAGCCCTGCGACTATATAAGTGAACCACACTGCCTACAAAGTGGAGTTGAAATGTGGCCGTTGGAGAGTTTGTTGTCGCAGTGAGTTCAAGCGTATCAGCCGCTGAAGTGATTTCTCAAGTCAGCAGCTTACGAGTTAAGTTGGAATCTAGCCAGCAGTGAGCAGTTAGGAGTGAATTGAATTGTAGTAGTCACTGATTTCAGTTGTAACGAGTGAATCGTGATAGTGTGAAGAGATTTGGTTGTAGGGTTTATAAAGTGTGGAAACCCGTAACATTGTTATAATTAATTGTAGCCGAGACTTGTAGGTTGTTAAATAAACCAGTTAACAATACAAACAGAATTTTCAGTAATGCAACACGTTACAATATAAAATAATTTTTATGAGACGAGACAGAAAGGCCAACATGAGAGACTACTGGTAAACTGGCCCCTCAATTGCCACATTCATTTTTCCCAACACTATGAGTAGAAACTGATGTGAAGCTGTTTGGTAAGCTTGGCATTTTAGCAACATCAATCAAACACAAGTTAAAGAGGAGCTTGATATATTATTGAGCATGGGCCTGAATAAGATACAGGGTCGAGTAAGTGAGAAGACAAATGTGATTGTGTGTAATTATACAGCTGTGTTCGTACACCTGAGGATGACCTCTTGAGGTCGAAACATGTAGTGTGATAGTAATAAAAATATGTTGTGTGGTCGGTAAAATTGACTCTAATATTGATTACATACACATCAAGATGCAAGAAACAATTAAAAGTTGGAACTATTGCACATTGTTCAGGAGCATATAGTTACACAAGCACTTAAAATTAGTGGATGTTATTGCAATTAAAAAGAACCAAAGAGGATTGTTCTTATAGCTGTTCTGAATCACTTTCTCTTCACCAAATTAAAGAAGGGGCACTTTACTTACCAAGTCTGAAGTAGTTTTTCTTACATCCAAAGACTGAACTGGAAAATTTTGGGTGCTGTTGAAGAGTCGCGTTGAAATGCATTTTTCATCTGTTCCACTGTCAATCTTTATTTCCTCATTACTGGTACCTCTTAGTTAGCCTATATGTACAAGAAAAAAAAGTAATACACTGCTGTGCAATGAGAGTTTCCTTTTTTTACAAGAGATATTTTATAATATTACTTGTACTCTCAGATCATTCATTTCCTGTAAACAATAAACAATGCCACTTTTTACATACCTGGGCTCATACCTCTGAACCTCAGCACTTTCTGTTCTAAATGCCTTTCCTTTTCCTGTCAGCATCGTGATTTATCTGTACTGCCCCTGGTGTTCTTCAGTTTCACATTCGATAATAACGGAGACTGATCATATTATTATTATAGCAGCTTAAATACTTCTTTCCATAATAACTCATGCTATTCAGACATGTTTGTAGGAACTTGAAGCTTGCACTAACCCGCAAGTCACTGAACTGTACAAAATGTCTGGTATAGCTGCTAGTGATTTGCTGGAGTGCTGGAAGGTTACATCCATGTGTAAGCACTGCTGACTTGCTGCCATGTGCCCACAAGCTGAAATCAAGTTGCAATGCTGAACTTCCCTCCCATATATAATTTGTACTCGCTGTTGCAATTATAGTACTTCTGACAGTACATTATTACATGGACAGACATCTCGGAGATTACGGGAAATTTCCTTGATGCAGCAACAAAAAAATAATGAAATGTATGAAACAGTCAAAGTAATTGCACAGGAACATGAACTAAGCTGCTTATATAATGACCGGCTCTTTAAAAACTTTATGTAGTTGTGAATTGACTTGGTCTTAAGAATCCATTTCTTATTTGAAGATTATAACTTAAAATGTGTTAAATACAATATGATTTACCCACACCAGAGCTGTGCATGCAGACAGAAAACTTCCTGAGTTGTGGGCAAATGCACGAAAATTAAGTAACCCATATGATAAAGTTTAAGTGCCAATGGCATTCCTAGTTTATTTTATCACTCAAGCGACCAAGTTGAGTTCAGTCAGTGTCAGTGGAGTGGAATGAGTTGGTTGGTAAGTGAGCTAGTTAGTAAGTCGAGAGTTGCTGTAGCTAGGCCAGGGACAGTTCAGGAATCCAGAGCAACAGAAACATCTGCCGTTGGAAGCCGCTATTTGGAAGCAATGGCTAGTGAAGAGTAAGAAGTGCTCTAGTGAACTAGTGGAATGGTCCTAATTACTCATAGTCACAGATATGTAAGAGTCCAATACATCTCATTACCAACCCAAACCCCATCTATAGTCTCTCAGATGTGTGACAATACTATGCCAGCATTTGTCTCAAGTAGAAGAGGAAACCCACAGAAAACCTCAATCAGGATAGTCAGTCTTCAGGATGAGACATGAATCCTGGATCTCTTAAACTTGAAGCAGGAGTGCCACTCACAAAACTGTAACATTCAGTACATTCAGAAGAATAATATTAAAATTATTCTAGAGGAAAGGATGTGAAGTGGGTTCAACTAGCACAGGTAGGGTTTATGTTGCAGGCTTGTAGTGGCATGAAGATGGTTCTCTAACAGGGAACACCGAGTATCTATCACCTCCCCTAAACAGTGACTTTATTAGCTCTTGCTCTCACTTGAAAGGCTTTACACCAGAGTGTGTCAACATGTGAATCTTCAGATTTGACTTATTCTGGAACATCTTGCCACAGCGATCACAGGTGCAAGCCCCCACAATATCCTTGTGATGCACCTCCTTCATGTGGCGTTGCAAGGCTGCTCGTGAGCCAAGAAGCTTGAGGCAGATCTTGCACTGGAACTCTCGAAGAACTTCTGCCATGTCTGCAAAACAAAAGAACAACTTTCTGTTATTTCAGACCAAACTAAACAGGAAATATCATTTTAAGAAATGGCAGTTTCATAAACAATGAATGGGTCCTGATGACAAAAGTAATAATATGAATTCTGTGATGCTCTTCTCTTTCTCTGGCTTGTCATTTATTCTTTTGACAGAAATGAATGGTACACAAGGAATTCTGAACAGAACCCATAAAGCCTACTTTCCCAAAGCATGGGCATTCAGTTGTACTAATTTTGTTGCTAATATTATATTCAATTAAGACAAGTTCATAATTCAGCAGCAAAATTGGTTAGCATCCTGGGCTCACGCACAGAGTGCCATAAGATCAAATCATACTAAAGTGAGTATTTTTTATTATTCGTGATAATAAATATGTTGAAATTTACAAATACAGTCAACTCTCGATTATCCGGGCTAATGGTGGGGATGGAAGTCACGGTTAATCGAAAACCCGGTTAAGCCAAATTTTATTATACGGGCTGGACGACTGTGAAGGGTCGGAGTTCGAGTCCCGGTAGGGTCAAGAATTTTAACTTCTCCAAATCGTCCAGACCGGCTCTGGGGTCCATCCAACCTCCTATCCAATGGGTACCGGGGGCTCTTTCCCCGGGGGTAAAGCGGCCGGGGCGTGAAGCTGACCACTCACCTCCAACNAATGGCAGTGGTGGCAGAAGCAGCAATAGCAACAACAATTTCGACTACTACCATAACCACAATCACCACCACCGCCATCATCTCCACTGCTGCTGCTACTGCTACTCTGTTGCTGTTGTTGATTTTTGGAAGAATTTATTACTTAGGTAATAATTTTATGTTAGATCTGTTGGATATAACCTCAAAGATTCACACCAGTGACATGTTGGTAATGGCTGACTCAATAGAAATATTTCATACATAATTTGTAGAAATGTTTATACCCTACCTTCATACAGAATGTCATATTCCTAGCTAACAGCCCATTAGTTATTTCGGTCAAACCAGAAGCAAAATGAAAATTTTGCACAGCTGCCATATTGTTGTTTCACATTCTTATGAACAATTTCCTTAACAAAGTTGTATATTTTCAGAATATTTATTACCATACATCATTTGATGACTTTACAGTAGCTGAGTTGTCACTCCCACCTGACAAGCTACTGCATCTGACATTTTGTTATTACTGATTACAGTAATGATAATAATAATAGTAATAATAATTAATTTCCTTTATTTAAGTGCCTGCCAACAGTCAATGGCCTATAAGAAGCAAGAACTGAATGCACATATAACTAAGGCTAGACTAAGACTAGAACTAGAACTAGAATAAGACTAAAAATCAAATACTAGATCAGTGGTTCCCAACTTTTTTTTGGACTCCTGCATCCTTGGTTCCTTAAACTCATCCCAAGTGTCCCCTGCCCTACCTTGTATAAAGCATTCTTCAGAACAGCAGTTTGCACAACCCACTAAGGAAGATACTTGTAATAACAATAAAATAAGATACATTTAGTACCTACTTCACTGTTAGTACATTCTTAATGCAATGGATGACTTGCTGAAGTGATACCAGTTTCCCAATGTCTGGTCTAAAGCCACATCAATTGAAATAGGCAAACAATGTGCTTTGAGAGGTCCACCTCTAGCACCCTCTAGGTTCCTAGGTAACCCCACCACCCCCCAGGGGGCAGTACAGCCCACTTTGGGAACCATGTAGTAATTTGCTTAGTGGAGTCCAGCTGGGTCCACTCGGCATGGCGGCCACTGATTGGCCTATAACCATGTACAGGTAGAACTTAATAAAACGATACAGGTAACTGTAACTGACATAACTGGAACAATCAACTCAGTATGATTAAGGAAAGGAAAAAGTAACATCAAGGGAGACGGTATGTTTATTGAAAATGTCCAGAGATATGATGATGATGATCAATGAATGTATGAATATATAAGGGGTAAGCCTAGACTGGCCTTTGCACTGCAAACTTCAATGATCTATTGTGAATATGATGATTATGATGATGATGATGATGATGATGATGATGAGACTGTTTTGGAATAATGTTCATACCAAATTTCCTGAAAGGTGGGACATAGAGGCATCACAGTAATTTCATAATAGAAATTAGACACAGTACTAGCTTGACACAATAAAAACAAGACACAGCAAGAGCTGACAGAAAACAATATTATATTCATATTGTGCACCTTCTCTGCACAAAGTGCAAAACATTGCCACCTATGATAAAGGCATTTGTGACTTTACCTTGTCATGTATTCTTTTTCTCTGCTATTCTGTATGTATACTATTAACTAAACAGGCTTTCTGAGATTGTACATAATTATTTTCAATGTAATGGTATGACTCACCATTATGCATGCGTTTGATGTGGACTTTGAGTTTCTGAGGTTGGCAGAACTTTCTCCCACAGAAATCACACAAAGGTCGTGTGCGTTGTGGGTTTGATGCACAGCCATATGTGCGATGCATCTCCAGGTAGTTAAGGCGCAGGAAGAACTACGCAAGCAAAGAGAGCATTACAGCTTACGGCATCATCTTCGGTACACAGATCAAGACCGATTATTCTGAATCATGCAAATTCTATTAGTGCACTTTCAAATTGTGTTAAAAGCAACCTAACTGTTCAAAAGACTGAGAAGTGAGGAAAAATTTAACAGTGGCAATTACATTTTAATTTCTTTGCTGCTGCTTCATAAATACAATGTAATTCTAATACAATACAATTAAAATACAATAATAGATTCCTTCCACTGATCAGGCAATTCTTCTTATTCCAATAGAATTAATTAGCTTATGGATTTAGAACGTAATATTTCACCTCCTGGATTAATACATTCTGCTGGAATCTGATCACTACTTGGCAATTTATACCTTTTCAGTTTTGCAATAGCAATTTCAACCTCAAGAGTTAGAATCAGGTACTAACGGCTCAGCTGCATGTATTGCTATCTGCCTAACAGCATTGACCCTATGTACACTCAATAACTGAGCGAAGTAGTTCTTCCACCTATTCAAAATGTTGTGGGAATCTGCTGCAGATCACTATTCTCATCCTTCACTAAGTTACTTCTAGGTTAGTAACCCTTCTTGAAGTCATTTATTCCTATATGCAGGTGTCTAATGTTCTTGTTGTTACTGTCCATTGCAAGCTCATCAGTTTTGTTGTTCAGATATTCCCTAATTTAAATCCTGAGAAGCCTGCTGGTTTCATGTCTTATATTGTTCATATTATCCCCATTTATTTTGCTTGGACCCTGTAACCTGAGTATCCTTCATCAAACCATGGCTTATGCTTCTTCAGTTAATAATGACCTAGACTCTCTTTGTCAGAAATTTTGATATTCTACTAGTTTCTCAAGCTCTATTACCACCATCTCAGCATCTAAGTTTTCCAAAGCTGTGAACCTATTTGAGATTTCAACACGATATTGCTCTTTATCCTCCACCTCATTTAATTTCTTGAGACTGAACCTTTCCATACGAACTCCGTGCACTGTTTGTTTACTCACTGCTAATCTCTCCCTAAATATTACAATCTGCTGCCCTGAATCATCAGACATCAAGTACACTTGAATGCCGTCTCCTATCTACAAAAATATGGAATTTGGTTGTGTCTTTCCATCAGGAGATGTCCAAGTAAATTTATTAATGTTACAATGTGGAAACATTGTACTTTTACCAATAAGATTTTAGATGTGGCAAATTTTACTACTCTAACTCCATTATCATTACTAATTTTGTACAAACTCTCATTCCCAATTGTCTGTTTGAAAACGTCTTCCTTACCTAATTTGTCATTGAAATTTTCTAACAAAATTTTCATATGGTATTTAGGGAATTTATCAAATACATGCTCTAGTTCTTCATAGAACCTGTCCTCATATGATAAATTTTAACCTCTGATGGGGCATGAACATTCAGGACAATAATATCATACCAGTGACCTCTTAGTATTATGTACGACATCCTATCACTCCACTCTCTTAACTGCTGATATGATTCTTTTATGTACGAAAAAATTAACTGGGGAACCTTGGTTCCCAGGTTTCATGTTGAAAACGTAATGAAGTTGTGATTTGTACCGGAATAAACCTACTTTGTACATTACAATTACAGCTTTACTGAAACATTATTAATGTTGACAAATATAAAATTACATTTAAATTAGTTCTCAATCACTGGACTAATGAAATCGAGCTTTTTTCTGAGCTTTGCGTTTTGTGTAATTACGCATGTTTTCAGCGAATATGTTTCTCTATATTCATGTTGTCGTTTGGCATTTAACTTTGTTCGTTTGGGTACATTATTACAATTATTTTCTTCTAACGGCTTCCTTTTCCTGTACTCTCATATACATGCAGCAAGACTACTACCAGCTTGTGGCGTTTTAATTTCTTGAGCTTCACATTTTCTGTAATTACACTTGTATTCAACATATAAGTTTTTATGTGTTTCTCTGTATCTATGCTTTTAACTTTGTTCATTTGGGTACATTATTACACTTATCTTCTTCTAACTGCTCCTTTCCCTGTAAACTCTCACAGCTATTACCAGCGGACATCTGAAGTGCACAACATCATACATTGCCAGCTTGCCTGTAGCATTGCGTCATATACTTAACAGTGGAATTGAATTAGCCATATACCTCGCATTTATTACCAAAGTCAAAGTCACAGTCACATTGCAACTGATGGTCGGTCAGTCAGTCAGTCTTGGTGTCGAGCCCCAATCATGACCAGATATTTATTGCTGTTTGACATTTACAGTCTTGTTATTGCGGGGAGCCCTCTCTGACGAGAGGACAAGTCTGTCTTTTGTCAGAGTCATTTATTATCGTATTTCACTTATATTTATAAGGTTCCAGCACTAACCACATAGAAAACATCATTTCCATGGTTTTTCCATTTCCTCTATTGTTCCATGTTGATTCACCGACATGGAAACATGTTAAACTGCTGATGCATTGGAATGTACCAATAATTACAAATTGTTACAGATTTTGTTATTTACATTACAAATTCTGTTACTAATGGTTTCATTCCATTTGTACCCTTGTAAATTAACGTTTTCAATGTTAAAACCTCTACCCAATTCATGATTCTCATTTCACTCGCCATAGAAAAATGTATACTCACCTGCTGGTTTGGTGCACCTCTGTCCCATCTGACCTCCTGTACTCCCACTACACCTAACTTATATTTTGATATTTCTTCTGTGAACCTGCCCTGTATATACTTCTAACATTCCATGTACCAATCTCATGTCCATTTTCTTTAGTTTATATTGTTCATCCAGATAATCTATCCAGGTCCAAGGTCCTTTGTTACATTTCATAACAAGATTGTTTTTTTTTGCGGTGAGATATTAGCCCCATGCCAAACTCCCAAGATGGAGGACCACCCCTTGTTGGCTAACTACAACTGCTTATTCAATATATTAGCAGCTACCCTCCATATCTGGAGGCTGTCTCCTCCATCCGCAACCTGAGGACACGCCATGCCGTGGTAACAAGGGACCCATCTAACATGGAGCAAGTACTGCTGTGATTTGTAAAGTGTTGAGACAAGCGATAGTGCTGTAATTATTTGTAGTTCTGAATGTTGTGTGTAAGTGGTCAACAAATCCAATTTCCAATCCATACCCCATCTATAGTGACACACCTCTAAATACGTGACAGTATCAAACAAAAGTTGAAGGTTTTACTGTGATTCATATTTCATGTTATCAGCTAACATTTTTTATAGTGGCCTTGAGAAAGTCTATAATTTTATTTAAACTACTGGGTTATATTTCACTGATACACATTAAAATTAAATCTACTTAACAATGTTTAATGTAGACACTCAATACCAAATTTCATCAAAAACAGTTTAGTAGTTTAGGAGATAAAAATGCAGACAGATTGATAAATACAATCTTACTTATCCTTCATTTTGTGCACTTTGAGGCACAGACACATAATACTAAGTGTATGTCTAATACATGTTCCTGTAGAACATAACAGTTCCCTCTAATAATGTTCCTAACTCTTCTGGGCAAAGAACTTTTTACTTATATTGGTAATGTTCAATTAACCACAGGAATTGCCTGTAACAGCAGGCAGGAGTAATATCATTCTCGTATAACAAAACTCAACATATTCTACTGCCACTTGTAGTTGCTAACAGAACGTGTACACATTAAACTAACCTTTTTGCAGTATTGGCACTGGTAGGCACCCTTGCCATCATGCATCTCAGCTGCATGTTTCATGATATTCTCCTTGCCCAGAACAGCTGTGCCACACACCTTACAGTGGTACTTGCGGATGGTCAAGCTGAAGTTAGGATCATGAAACACAGTGCAGTGCATGCGGTAATACAGTGGGTGTGAGAACCGTAAGTTGCAACCGCCACAGTCTGAAACAGGTGCAGCAGTAAAAGGCTAACTCGGGATATTTCAGTAACCAACTGAGGAACTGATCTACAAACCAACCAGGTGACTCACTGACTGGTTAACAATCTGATCTGCTGTCAACCAACTACCAGAATAACTGAGTTACTAATTAATCAACTGAAATTAATAAACTAGTTCATTAAGCAGCGAAATTAATTAACTGGTCTGCATCGGACTTAAAACAAAATTTAAAACATAAGAATATGCATTCTTTCACATGTCTACCATTAAAGATCGAGTTTCTACCCATTAACACTGATGTTTGACCTACTGGGTACCTTACTGCTCCTCATTATGGACGGGAAGAAAAAAAAACTGATCAGGTGTACTCTTCCAATACGCCTGTTAAAGTTATTACAGCAAGAGATCCCACTGTTGCTGCTTCATTTTCCACCAATGCAAAGACTATTCCTGCTGGTACCTTTAAGGCATATGGAGGAAGCGACTTGAATTCTTCATTCATTATGTCTGGCAATGGACTGCAAATCTGAATCATCCCAATATGTACAGTAAAAGTATTTTTGACCCTATTACTGTTTTCCATCAAAATGTTTGGGGTCTATATACCAATGCTACACTTCTTTTTACATTGTCTGTGACCAGTATCATAAAATTATTTGTATTACTGACACATAGCTGAATGATTCTTTTGCAATAAAATCTTGTTTTCCAGTGTGTGCTCTTTATTTCCTGCTCACAGGGACTATTCTGATTCAAATTATCTCACAGTAGAAGTGCCCTTATCACTGTTCATCAGTCAACTGCCAGACTCAAATGCAGATTTCATACTGAACTTACTATTGAATACATTTGGACTGAAATCCCTAATCCTGGTGATCTCAATTTACTTATTGGAAATAACTATTTTTTGTCTAAAACTGATATAAAAATCATGGAACACTATTTAAATTCTAACTCCCTTGAGGTGAGTCCTTCTTCAGAAGCCACCAGTCGCTCAGCTAATTGAGTACTGGCCAAAATTTTATAGAACCCACAGGTTCATTACTGTGTTCACAAGAACCCACCACTGATCCCTACCTTGAGTCAGATGAATCCATTCCATACCACCCCATCCTATTTATATAACATTAATTTCAATATCTTCCCACCTAAGTCTAGGTCTTCCTAGTGATCTCTTTCCTTCTGGTTTATGCAAACCCATAACTGTTTATTTATCTGTCAACTGACACATTAAATTACTACACTCATAATGAAAATAGTCCTCTATATAAGACACCTGGATAGGATCTGTACCATCTATAGTTCCTGCACCTATGACAGATATCATTTCACAATGTTCATGACATGGTCACAAACTGAGATCGCAAAACAAATTTCAACATTATGTAGTCATAAAAGAAAGCCACACTGCAAGACTTAAACTTAGGTTTAATATAAATCGCATTTTCTCTTTTTCTTCAATACCATAAGCAATATCAAAGAAGTTATGCACCATAACCATCCTACTTTTTCTTTATAAGCTTCTGGTTTCACAGATGCATTATTTCAAGTCCCACATTCGAGCCTGAACTTTTCCATTTCACTGTCATAATTATGGGTTTTCAAAATTTTGCATTTGGGGCCAACTACAACACACGTTTAATGCAAAAATATCTTAAACATGCACCCATGTAGGTGTATCATGATAGTGGATCAGCGATCAGTAGAGCTACGATTTTTAAGTAAATATGTATTTTATTGCTTACTATGTAGATGCTCAAAAAGTAATACTCTCCATGAACTACAGCATTAGCATCGCTACAGTTGTATACAGTTCTGTATATTTTGGAATTTCCTATATATTTCCTAGAAGTTAGATAAAACTACATACTTTGTGATTTTTTCTTTACTTGCATTTTAAACTGGAAAGTGCCTGCATTTTTTGTGTGTCTTTTGGTTAAATACCTTAATGATGGTGTCCACCACCCTTCCAAAAGACCTTTTCTGCCATGACAGAGAAATCCAGAAGGAAACATCTCTTTTGTAAAGCTGATTAAACTACATCCCCCAGGTAATTCCGCTCATTAGTGTGACCTGAACACTGGAGATTTTTCTGATTCAAATGCTGTTCTGTTGTATTGCAGTTAAAATCCCCTCCTCTCTCACCAAACATACTCGTCCACTCCTAACAACCCACATTCTTGTCCCGAAACTTTTGAAAGTAACATTAGTTTTGTATAAGCAGCTCAATGAGTTCAGTTCAAGTCTGCATAGTCAACATCATTATGACACCAGTTCAATCCTCTCTGGTGTCAAAGTTAAATTTGTAGGTAACAATTGGCTTGCAACAATATTATTGGATGTTCCATGAAATCAGATGGAGCAACATGTATGAAGCAAGCTACATAAAAAGAACAAGCAATTGAGTTCTTTGAAGGAGCAAGTCCTCTTGCAGCAATCATCAACCTCAAGAAACAAATTCTTCAAGGACTGTGCATTTGGATGGTGTCCATGAACATCCCCTGGTTTAAAATCCAAATGTCTGAATTTCGGTCCTTTTTGGAAAAGTACTGCAAGCAACATATACCAGACCACTCAACACTTCAGAAACATTATCTGCCTATCTGTTATGAAGAAACATTGGAAAACATAAGAGGTAACATAGGAGATGTCTTTATATGGGTTTATTTGGACAAAACAATGAATTACGTGGGTCACTTTAATGCGTACCTTGTTGCTGGCAAGTTAGACATTGAAGTTCCTTCTAATCTACATTTGATTTACTTCTCAGTTCTGCACCACACAAATCATTCCACTGTTCCAAGATTTGTGAATGATGGGCTTGAAGTGTTGTGGCCTACCACAGTTCATAAGAAGGTGCTAATTTTGTATTCAGATGCTGTGGCATATATGCTGAAAGCTGTAACTGTGTTGCCAGATGCAACCTTGCCCGCCCCCCAACCAATGCCAACAAGTTGAGGAAACCGAAGCAGTTAACTTCTACAGTGAACACTCTGAAGCTGTGAAATCAATTGCAGCCAAGTTCCCACAAAAGTCTGCCGTTTCAAGGCATGATTCCCAGAGTGCATTAAGCGATCGAAAAATGGCCTGTTCAACTGCCTACATACGAAGCAATTTCAGCTGGCTTCTGAGGGTATAAAACGTTTAGAAACCCAGAGACTTATTTTGCAAGAATCTATGGACACAATGAAAAATGCAAGTGAAAAGTTTAGTGTTGTGAAAGGGGAGGCTGGTGAAAGCGTGTCCACCAAGTTGCAGGCTGTGTTAAAAAGAAACCCGGGATTTTCTACATTTACCAATGTCTGTCAGGTACTTAATGGAAGTGACATAGATACCCCTAAAGACGCTACTCCTGAGAAAATTCCTTTGATAAAACATGCATCAGTGGCACCTTGTGATGCAGAAAGATCATTTTCAGCCTACAGCTCAGGAAATGGGCTATCTCCTATATAGAATGATATTTTGGAATTATGATTTTCTCATGGTCATAATTAAAACATTATGACTTCCCATCGTAGTGAAGACATAACAGACTGAGAAGATTCAGTATGTGCTGCAGTGGTCTGTAGTGTGTAGATTTGTGAGCATTATAAGTATATGTGGTTACTAATCATAAACCTTCAATAAATCCAATTACCAAACCAAACCCCATGTCTAGTCACTAACATGTGAGAATGTTTAGTGGTGCTTGTGTCAGTCCTACTTCACAAGTATGTGCATCTGTCACATTTGTAGTACCAGTTGTAGGAAATTAAGAGTATGAGTTTGTCATAGCCTCCAATGGCATAACAACCATACCAAATTTCATCAAAATCCGTCCGATGATTCTCAAGTTGGAACATGCAGATAGACAATCAGACACACATGCCCAACTCTCCATGTGTTCATTTCATGCACATAATGCATTGAATGCAAAACAACTGGAAGAACTTATGAAAAAGATCTCATGACCTACTTGTCTTCTCCATCTTCTTCTTGGACCAACTGGTAGCTGTATCATCTGACCAATACAACAACTCCTCCCCCTCCCCAATTTCTACCACCGTCACAAAATATAGTTCTCCATGACGCACAACAGGAGCCAGGTTACGCTGCTCCCTCACTGGTGCAGGCCGAATATACCGCAGCCAGTTCGAACCATCAGGATCAAATGTGCTGAGGTACTGCCGATCCTTGTCAGTGAACACCTGTAAAGACATAAAGATTCATGAAAATCTTTCCTGAAGGAAAGAACGAACCAGTAGCAGTGACATAACACTTACTATACAGAGAAGACCTATCAAATACATGGTGTATGGGCCTCAAGTGTCACTCTTAGACACTGGAAAATATTCCATAATAACAAACTTTTCTATCCATATCTGAATGAAATTTACTAGAGAATTCTAATAAAAAAGAAAAACTCTGTAATTTAAATGATATCAATTAATGTTACTTATATAATAAAGTAATAACATAAGTTAATAATATCACTAAAATTAATTATATATAATTAAATGTANTAAGAGAATCTAGAAGGATTATAAACCTCAACTGAAATTACGCAAGGATAGGATGGACAAATTATTAATGAGAACTAATTAACTAACTCCACAAAGCCGAGCCCTTCTTGAGAAGCCAATAGCTGCACAGCTACTCAAGAATTTCCCAACATTTTATGGGACCTGAAGGTTCATTACCATGAACATAAGAGCCCTCCACTGGTCCCTATCAATCCAGTCCATACCGAACCATCCTATTCATCTTAATATTATCCTCCCATGACTGTCTAAGCCTTCCTAGTGGTCGCTTTCTTTCTAGCTTTCCCACCAAAATCCTATATGCCTTCCTCTTCTCCCCATGCAAGCTACATGCCCTGCCCCTCTTATCCTCAACTTGATCATTTTAAATATATGAGGTTAAGTCAATAAGTAAGTTACAAATGGATATAGAACTTAAACAAATAAGCGTATTAATTTGAAAATGCTTTTATTTCTCGACATAATCACCCTGTACAGCCGGTTACGGCAGCCGAGCGGTCTAAGGCATGTGCTGTCTGTTATCATATATTTCATTTAAGAGAATTTCACCACATGCAGAAAAGTTATTGGAAGCTATCAATGTGGATTTCGAAAGGACAAGTCTGCTGCATAACATATATTTTCATTATGACCCTTCTTGAATTAGTGTGGAAAGCGGCATTGAGTTGAGTGGTTGGGTTTATTGTTGGTAAACATATTTCCATTGCTGTGTTTCCGTGAGTTTGCAGTTTTGCGATGGCTGACCTGAGAGAGCAGCGTGTCTGTATAAAGTTTTGTTTTAAACTTATATCGTAGACTGACCAACTAAGACCTCTGTAACACCTTGGGACTAAGTTATGGTACATGTCAACGAATTTTGTCAGAGGAACTGAACATGAGGAGGATTGTGGCGAAATTTGTGCCACAACTGCTGCAAAATGAACAGAAGCAGCATCGCTTGGAAGTCTGCAGGGAACTTCAACAACAGCTTCAAGAGGATCCATACTTCCTTTTGAAGGTTGTCACTGGTGACAAAAGTTGGTTTATCGCTAAGACCCTGAAAGTAAGCAGCAATCGTCGCAATGGAAGAGCCCTTCTTCACATCGGCCAAAAAAAGCTCGACAAGTCAAGAGCAACATTAAGCCCATGTTGATCTGTTTTTATTATTATTATTATTATTATTATTATTATTGACAGGATTGTTCATAAGGAGTTCGTCCCTCCTGGTCAGACAGTTAATAAAAGAGTTCTATTGCAATGTTCTAAGGCATTTGCGGGAGGACATGAGGAGAAAACGTCCATAGAAGTGGCGCATGAACGACTGGGTACTCCACCATGACAA